TAAATCTATATCCTATGGGTTATACTATATGTTTTTGTTTCAAAATGTTTATGATACACACATATACATATATATTTATATATAATACATTTATATCCATATATAGGTGTGGATATATGTGTGTGTGTATATATAGATGTATATATATATATATATATATATATACACACACATATACTTCCAGGTCTTTTTTTTACTCCTTTGCTTTTTGTATAACATCATGTTCTAGTTAATATTTTGGTACAACTGAAGAATGTGAGACAAATCCAGCTTCATGTATTCAATTTTAACATAAAATGGTTTTTATCATGCTAGTATAACCTCTTATTCTGTGGTTCATTCGTGACTACAAATATTAGATGAATGAGGATCAAGCACTGTTTTCCTTTACCACTGGCTGCAAAATTCAAGACAGTCATTTAACTTCTCCTTCTCGGCTTTCACAGCTATTAAAAATAAAGATAATAATCCTTCCCTCACCTTCCAGGCTTGACATTAAAATCAAATGTGAGACCTCATTAAAAATCATTTCATGCTATATAAATGCAAGAGATTATTTCTAGGAAAATAAATTTCTGTTGTAGAACTGCTGGAAACTAGGAAGAAAATATGTGAATTGACTTCCTCAGCTAGGGGTGGGGAGGGGGGGAATACTTCAGTGAATCACCCGTAACTGTCAAATGTCTGTGGTGATGCTCTGTCTGGTTCCGGGAGGCTGTGGAGTGGTTGGTTTGCAATCAAAGGCTTGGTAGCCAGAGCAGCAGGGATGTCATCTTGTAAATATTATGCTTTATTATTGTAGAAGCTAGGTATTTTTGTGGGTGTGTGTAGGTAGGACAGGTTGACTCATGATTTATAAAATATAATGGTATTATCTATTGTAGTCAAGTTGACTCATGGTTTATAAAATATAATGGTATTATCTATTGTAGTATCTCTGAAACAAATATGAGGATGAAGTCTCTCATCTTGAGTAAGTGTGCTCATTAGCTCCGGTGAGGCACTGTGAACTATGTGGTCCCATGTACAATAAGAACTCTGTGATTGTATTCCATTAAGTATGGAATTTGAGAACATAGGACTCCTTTAAAGTCAGGAAGATAGAGTTATAGTATGCCGGTTTGGTCCTGTGTTTGAAATCTGTGGTTGGTTAATGTTATATACTCCGGCACTGAGAATCAGTTCATCTTCTTCTATTATTGTTTAATGAAATGGAAGGGAAGCTTTGAGCAAAGCAATGCTTGCGTTTTTAGTTCCGACTTGGCATTCAGTGTTTGTTGAATTTTGAGACACCTGGAGTGATTTGCTGTAAGAAACCTGATTTCAGACTCTGAAGACTAATTTGTGGATCCAAAATTCCTGCCACTCCCCTTGTCCTTCGCTTCTCTGACTCAGTTACCTAATGTTTCAAAGGGGTCACAAAAGTGATAGAGGCCTCTCAGATTGTGTAATGACAAACGTTGATATCTATGAAGTACTGATCACAATAAACAGCACCTACCTGGTATTAGTATTACTATTACATAATTACTATTGGATTCTTAAATTTTAAGATACTCCCATTCAATACATGTATAAACATACACTGAAAGATAAGCCAGGCACTGGTAGCTCATGCCTCTAATCCTAGATACTCAGGAGGTTGAGATCTGAGGATCATGGTTCAAAGCCAACCCAGGCAGGAAAGTCCGTGAGACACTTCTCTCTGATAAACCACTCAGAAAAACCAGAAATGGTGCTGTGGCTCAGGTGGTAAAGTGCTAGCCTTGAGCTGAAGAGCTGAGGGACAGCATTCAGGCCCAGAGTTCAAGCCCCATAACCAAAAAAAAAAAAAGAAAGAAAGACAAACCATATTATTACATGCAAACATGTATGTTATATGGTTGCACTTCAACATAAATGTTCTGAAATCTTATTTTCAAATATCAATCACTTAATTTCAAAAGCCCAGTTTAGTCATAGTCATTCCATTTCAGACACATAGTCTTCACTCTATCATTACATCCCCCTTTACTAACAAGATAAAATACTTCATATCAATCTGTTTAAGAACATTTTATCACCGGGCGCTGGTGGCTCACGCCTGTAATCCTAGCTACTCAGGAGGCTGAGATCTGAGGATCATGGTTCAAAGCCAGCCTGGGCAGGAGAGACTGTGAGACTCCTATCTCCAATAAACCACCAGAAAACCAGAAGTGGCGCTGTAGCTCAAGTGGTGGAGCGCTT